GAGCCTCAGATGCCTGCGTGCGTGAAACCTGTGTCCGCGCGGCTTGGCGGTTAGGAAGGGACGGGGGCAGGGGCACGTTGCCGGAGAAAAGCCGCGGTCTGTAAGTGAGGCCGACGTGGGGGTGGGAGAGGACTTGAAAAGCAGGTGCATCTCGCAGAGACCCAGGGTCGGAGCTTTGAGACGTGCGAGCACCAGGAAGAACCGGGCGGGAAGGCACGGCCAGTTCCGGGGCCCTGCCGGCTGCCGGCGCAGAAGCCGTCAGGGTAACGGAATCCTGTCGAGGGGCTCACGCTGTTCTGTGTCGCTCTCAGGGAGGCCCCACCCTACAAGGCTGTGCAGCCCAACTTTCCTTTAACACCCTAGTTGAATGTTCCCCTCGATTCCTTACCACTGTGCCTTTCAGTGGGGCGAGGCCTGACCAGTGACCACGTCGGCCGTGTGTCTTGTCCCTTAGAGTCTCCGCGGCCGCACTGTGATAGCTCTGGGAGGGGTGAGCTGACCCAGGACTCGTCATGTCACAGACGAAATGAGAGTTTCAGGGATGATGAGGGACTGGCTCAGGACGACAGAGCCCAGAGCCGTCCTCCGCATCCACGGAGCCGCCTCCTCGTGTCTGCCGCGGACCAGTAGCTACGCTGAGAACGTGTTCATGTCAGATGTCGATGGTCCACAGAATGTGATTTCCTCCTGTGCACGAGACTGAGGCAACATAGTTAATAGTAGGTTCTGAGCCCAGTGTCTGACGGAAAAGGGAAAATTACTTTCTGAGTCACTGAGAAGTAAACAGAAAGGATACAAAATTAGATGGAGACAAATTCCCTTCAGGGCATACATGCAGTGGGTCGTTTTAGGCTCACCGGGAACACGCGTTACCCAGTAGGACAAACGCACTGCGTGGACTGAGTCTCCTTCCTTCTGACGCAGCGGCACCAGCCGCCCTCCGTCCCGGGCCATCCTGACTGTCCGTCCGCTCTGAACCTCCCCTTGCCGCCAGACCCTGTTGCTCACCATCCGCTCTCTGCCTGCGCCCACCCGGCATCCTTTGTCTGTTCTGTGTCCTGAGGTAGGCACCGCTGACCCCTGTAAAGGTGAGGTGCGTGGGCTGGGAGAGGCTAAGCTAGCCTTTCATGAGGACACGTAGCCGGTCGGCTGTGCCCGGGGCGCCCGCGCGGAGTCTCTCTGCCTCCAAAGTGGAGCGTGTCTGCCGATGGCCTGGCATTTCCCTCCCTCCCTGGCAAGGTTGCTATGGCCACGTGATGACACATGAACGGCTTGAGAAAACCGCCAAGTGCTCCATCATGTGCGGGACCGTCATCTCTTCTACGGGGCCGTGTCCGCGTCTCAGGAATGGGCAGTGAGGTCAGGCACACGTCGGCCGAGGGGCGTTCTCGCTTCTGCTTCACGGATGAGGAAACCGAGGCCACTATGACGAGGAAGATGTCCACACAGCTGGTCCCTGCTCTGGGCCAAGCCCACTCTGGGCACCTCTCTCTGTCCCTCCCAGGCCGGGTTCCTGCTCCCACGTACGGGCGTCCGTTGCCCGTGGACTGAGCCCCGTGATGGCCCTTCCCAACCAGTCTGCTCGGCCCTGGCGCGGGGCGGCTGGGTTACTGGTGTGGGATGAGAGAGTGATGTGGATGAGCACGTTGTATTTAAGACGATTTGCATGACGTTAGCCACTCAGAACGGGTTCCAGTTGACGACAGCTGTATTTGCCCGGCACCTCTTCTGTACTTGTGCGGCAGAGGCGGTCACGGTGGTGCGCACGCCTTTCGGTGGCCCTGCCTCGGGGAACGCTCTCGTGGCCGCTGAGGATTTCATCGTCTGTGACGTCACCAACACGATGCGTCTCATAACACCTCAGCCACCACCGTCTTCCCAGCTGCTTCCAAATAAACAGATCAGAAGTCTACTGTGCTTTTTTTCTTAAACAATTTTTTTTTTATTCTCACCCGAGGACATTGTTCGATATTTTGTTCAGATAGACTGGGAGGGAGAGAGAGAAACATCGATGTGAAGGGGGCACATTGAGTAGTTGCCGCCCGCACAACCCAATCGGGGCTGGGGACAAACTGCAACCGAGGTACGTGCCCTTAGCGGGAACCGAACCTGGGTCTCTCTGGACCGCAGGTTAACGCTCTACCGCTGTGCCAAACCGGCCAGGGCTTCTTAAACAATTTTTATTTGTATTTATTTATTTATTATTTTAATCCTCACCCGAGGATATTTTTCAATATTTTATTCAGATAGAGCGGGAGAGAGAGAGAGAGAGAAACATCGACATGAAAGGGACACAGATAGAGCGGGAGAGAGAGAGAGAAACATCGACGTGAAAGGGACACATCGAGTGGTTGCCACCCACACAACCCAACCAGGGCCGGGGACAAACTGCAACCTAATTTACGTGCCCTTAGCGGAAACTGAACCCGGGTCTCTCCAGACCGCAGGCCGACGCTCTAACCGCTGAGCCATACTGGCCAGGGCTTCTTTAACAATTTTTATTTTTTAAAACTCTCCCCCTCTCCCTTCTTCTCTCTCTAAAATCAATAAAGAAAAAATATAAAGACACAAAAAATAAAAACAAAGTGCATTTGCGGATCCAAACATTAGAATGGCCACCCCGGCTTGAGCACCAGGTTGCAAGTGGCTAAGGACAGCAGGGACTTGATGCTGAGCCTGAGCGTGGCGTCAACACACCTGGCTCCTTCCTGCCAAAGGGCGGGAGAGGGGCCGGGAGGCGCCTGCAGGTGCGCAGAGCCCCCTGGAGAGCTCCGGCATCAGGACTCTGCTTCCCCCACGGGGGCCCTGAAGAAGGAGACGATACAAGGCAGAGTTCTCGGGGGATTAAATCAGTTCAGGGAGCCAGGGGAGCGTTCGAAGAGGCTACTTCTTACACTGATTCAGGTCGCTCACGAAAAGGAAGAGGCTGTTGGTCTGGGCAGCAGTAGGACTTAAACGAAATAAACAGACATCTAGATCGTCCCCTTAAGAGACCAGACCGGAGTCCTAGCCGTAGGACGTTCCTCCCATCACCGAGTTTGTGGCACAGAGATAAACCTGCCGTTGGTTCTTGTAGCCTGGAGTGCTGGCATTGCCCTTACTAAAGGGAAGTTGTAACTGCTGTGCTACAATCTTCTTGTGTTGTAGAGTGTTGTAGAGCCCCGCACAGGCATGCCGGGGCTTGTGGGTACCTCCAGCTAATGTGTCATGTCTTAAAATGTAAAAAATTGCTCTCTTTTCCTGGCACTGTGAAGGCCATCTCAACATTAGTGATGCACACGTAAGGGAGACATTTCAATGAACTTTCTTGGATCTTGACGAGATAAGCACTAGGATTGATGATTGTGTTCTGAAATCTTCAGTAGCTGCAGATTGCTTTGGGGACCACACCCTGGGAGGCCCTGCTTCCCAGTTCATTGAAAAAGGGACCCCTCCGTGGGCTGAGCTGCAACACCGTGTTTTGTTTGTTTTTATTGCACCAAGAGTAACATTTGTATGGACGTCCAGTCACTGTTCTTAATTGGACATGCTTCCGATGTTTCCGGAGGTATGAATTCAAAACCTCCCTTTGTCTCAGTGTTAGGGGAACCTCCTTTAATTAACTGAAGCCAGCGGTCAGACTTGCTTCTGGGCTTTGACCATCTGAATCGAGCCTCCCTGTGTGGTGTCCGATGACTCTGACCATCACTTGTCTCTTCCGGGGCGCTTTCTATAGACATTGTTTTCAAAATTACACAGTAAGGTGTTCGTGGGGGAAATATCTAAAAGAGTGTTGACTACAGACTGCCCTTCTGCCGACAGAGAACCGTAAACACTCCGATGCGTATTTTCCCAGTGTTTCCCGGGGGCTGCGCTTGTGTGTACATACATGCATACGGACATACCGACACACAGTCCTCCCGCCGGCCCTCCCCGCCTCCTGAGATGAGACTGGAGGGCTGGGATGTCACCAAGGGGGAGAGAGCCCGCTCTGGCTGTGCTTCATTGCGTTTCCCTCCTGGTGAGCGTGTTGCCCTGCCCCTCCGCCCCTCCGCCCGCCACCAAGGTTCAGGAAATTCAGCCTGTGCTTTGCCTCTCTCCTCGGCAGCCCCGCCGGGAGCCCACCCAGAACAAATCCCTGAGCCTGTACACGTGCTGGGTGCTTCTCGAGGGGACGGAGCAGCGGCTGGCTCTGTGTTGCAGCTGATTCCTCGGGTGACCTCTCCCGGGGTCCCCTGGGGAAGAAGCTTCTCCGCAGCCTCCCTCGTCTCTGTCCGTGAGGGGGCGGGATTCCTCCTGCGGTAGTTATCTGTCATTGCAGCCCCATCTGGTTTCCATCTTCTGGAATTTTCTGAGAGGCCTTGGTGTGTCCACGGAACTTGTTTTCTCCTTCCTTCCGTCGCTGGGGTGGGGTTTCAGTGCCGCGATGATTCAGCCGATGCTTCGAGCCGCCCAGGTGCCTGGTCTCTTCTGTTTCTGGTCCAGCATTTTGGAAATTCGTCCCAGGCTCGTCATTTGCGGTTCCTTGGGTTTGTGTGGAAACCTGACCGTTTATTTTTCTCCCAGCGCTGCGTTCAGTGTTATTCAAAATGACATCATTTCCGTCGCATTGCTCTCTGGGTGCAGGAATGACACCATCGCTCACCAAAGTGCTTTCTGCTGCATTCATGGGCCTCACAAGGTGGCCTGCGGAAGGCCAGTTAATGATGCAAAATTCACTTTTAGAAGTTTAAATAATTATCCCTCTTTTATTTGGTATGTCTAGATGTCACTGTCTATAATATACATTTGTGCTTTATTTGAAGCTGCCTGAATAGTATGTTTCCATTTCAGTACCCAGATGATCTGGACGCATAGAAAGAGTAACAGTAACTTTTTAAAGGTGCATGGTCCTTAGTGTTTCTTAAAGTGATTTAATTGTTATCAGAAGTAAATGAATGGTTCGGCAGTTATTATTATTATTATTATTATTGAGATAGATTTGTCATTCAACACCGTATTTTTTTAAAATTTTGCCTCAGGAAGGAGAAAATATTTTCTATCTGGCAGTTGAAGACATAGAAACAGACACCGAGCTGCTGATCGGGTACCTGGACAGTGACATGGAGGCCGAGGAGGACGAGCAGGAGGGCCTGACGGCGACCCCGGAGGGGGAGAGCCATCAGGGAGAGTCCACACCTGGCCACACAGGTACCTCTCTCATCGGCGCCTGAGCGAACAGAGGTGGAGGGGAACCGGACTGTGGTGAATCACAGCTGCGTTTCTAGGGTTTTCGCAACATGAAGTTAGTTTCGTGGACACTGCTCTCAGAGGGTGTCCAGCTGGGGACCCACCTTTCTCCGGGCGGGAGGAGGACGCTGGCCTGGGGGGAGGTGTGCCCTGCATCCCTGCCGGGTCCCAGATCTGCCCGCTCTCGTGGGGACTGGGTTGAGCAGGAGGGAGGACTTCCCCAGCCCTGCGTCTGCCTTGCGACCCGGCGAGCCACCGCCTCTGAGACCCGGCTGTGTCACGGCACGTGGGAGGCCAGGCGCTCAGGTGTGCAGGGGCAAACGGCTGTTCCCGGGCCCTACTCTCGCTTGAGCTTCTCTGAGAACCTGAGCAGCGGGAAGTCTTCCTTGGCTCTGACCGCAGAGCCTGCAGGGTCGCTGGTTGTCCCAGCGGCAGTGACCAGAGGTCAGACTGCGAGCCTCCTGCAGTCCCGGAGACATATCGCTGGCCTGTCATGCGCAGTCATCACCGGGCCCTGACCCCGTCCTGGGCGTTTTCACTCCCGAGGGGGCTGGAGGGCGATATGAGGGTTACAGGTGTCAGCCCTGGGATGGGCTCGCCCCTTACGATGGAGTGTGTCTCCATTTGTTTAGCAAGGCCCTTTGTGAGGCGACACTGGGTTCTTTGGTCACTGTGGCAGCAATGGCTTTTGTATGAATTCTTGACGTCATCGGCTGAGAGAGGTCGAGTAGCCTCGGCCTGGCCACCCGATGCTCCCGTCTCTTACTTGAGTTGGACTCGCCACGGGGAGCCGAGGTCAGGCCGTCGGCTCTGCCTCTCAGACACGCACTGTGATTAAGGGGAATGTCACACCTATATGAGATGATGACCAGGTCACAGGCAGACCCATGGTGCTGTGTGGGTGTCGGATATTGAGCGATGGGAGTGATTTTTGTATTATTCTGTGTTTCCTTTTTAAATTTACTTTCTGTCTCCACTGTCCCCGGGGCATGTGGTGACGGAGTCCATCGTATAAACTTAGAATCTCCCGCTTGTCTCTTACCACCCCCATTTATTTTTAGTTAACAAAATAGTCATTTCCATGGTTTTTCTGGAAAGAATCAAACTTAACAGATTTTCAAACATATGAATTAGGTACTTAGAGCGTTGCTATTTTAATTGAGAATTTGGGGCTCTGTTTGCAAACACCAAACTCCAAACCACACCAACACAGCCGACCAACCAGCAAAACACACCACGGAAGCCGCCCGGATGTCTAGCGCTGAGGTTCGTTAAGTCAGTTATGGTGTCTTCACTTACATTTTCTTTATTTTTTACTTTTCTATGTTAAATGGAAAAAAAGAGAAACGTACGACATTGAGTATAGAGCGTGGCCATAGGTAACGTACGACATTGAGTATAGAGCGTGGCCATAGGTGTGGCTCTCCCTGGACTGTGCCTGAAATTGGATGGACGAGCCCGAGTCAGAAATGAATCGCAGTGCTTGTCTGTCCGTGATGGGATTATCGGGGATTTTTACTCTCTTCATGTTTTCTGCATTTTCTAAGTGTGTTCTCGTGTGATGACCAGAAATGGTCGGCACTGTAAACACGCACGCTGGAGGCGGGCAGAGCTGAGGCGGTCCGTGGGGACTGGCCGGGGGAGGGCAGGCCCACCTCACCTGCTGTCATGTCTGCCTGTGACCTGGTCATCATCCCATATAAGTGTGACATTCCCCTTAACCAGTCAGCATAGTTCCCTCAGCTGGGTCTGTCTCGTCCCAGCTAAGCGTGAACTCAGGATGACCCATGTCAGGGAGAATCTTTGGGGTCCAGCTCAGCCCCTGTAATACAGTAGCTCTTTGACGTGAACACTGAACATTGCAGGGAAAATTGCAAATTGGCTTTGTAATAATGTGGTAGAACACAGTGAAATGATTTTTTAAAAACCATGTATTTCTCTCTAGTAACACTTCCTATTGTTTTTCATGGGTAACACTATTATTATTCATAGAGATGATAAGAATCTACAATTCCCATACCATGAAACCCAATTAATATGATTTAAAAAAATTTTTTTTTTATCCTCACCTGAGGACACTTTCCCATATTTTGTTCATTCAGATAGAGTGGGAGGGAGAGAGAGAGAGAGAAACATCGACGTGAAGAAGGGACACATTGAGTGGCTGCCACCCGCATGACCCAACTAGGGCCGGGGACAAACTGCAACCGAGGTACATGCCCTTAGCAGGAACCGAACCCGGGTCTCTCTGGACCACAGGCCAACACTCTAACCGCTGAGCCAAACTGGCCAGGGCAATGTGATTTTTTATAAAATTTTTCTTTATTGATTTTAGGGAGAGGAAGGGAGAGGGAGAGAGAGAGAGAAACATCGATGAGAGAGAACATCGACTGGCCGCCTCCTGCTCGCCCCCCACTGGGGATCGGGCCCACAAGCTGGGCATGTGCCCTGACCAGGAATCGAACTGGCGACCTCTTGGGTCGACGCTCCACCACTGAGCCACACCCGCCAGATGCAATTAATGTGATTTTAAAATGAGGGGGGAACGGAGCAGTGCTCTGCATTTGCACCCCGTCAACCTGTGCCCTTGTGAATGTGCAGACGGCTTCGGCTGTGACGAGGGCCACGCCTGTCCCCAGTGCGAGTCCACCTTCACCAGCGAGGAGGTCCTGGCCGAGCACCTGCACACTCTGCACCGGACGCCCAGCGAGGAGAAGGAATCCAAGTGCAGGAGCTGCGGGAAGAGGTTCCCCGTCCGGCAGGCCCTGCAGAGACAGTGTGTACCCACAGCGTGTCCGCGGAGCTGGGGCCATACCCTTCCTCCTTGGGCTTCCGCCCCGTGTGTGAGACAGAGGGAGGGAGGGCGGGAGGGCGGGGTCATGGCCGCCACTCATCTCGCACAGTGTGGTGACTTTTGAAACATTCCGGTTACGAATGTAGCGAGTGAGCGTGGCGTTGGCGGGCCTGCCTGTGTCCGTTGCCTCTGGCCACGAGCGTGAGGCTCACTGGCTTGTGCGTCTGCCCTGGAGACGGCGCACGGGGTGTAGCTGGTGCGTTGGGGCGACGGGCCAAGCGTCGGTTGTCTGCATCCACGTTCCCGCTGAAATCCATACAAGAAACGTTCAGACAGGGAGAGCGTTCAGAGCGTAGTGAATTCGGAGCCCATGGGGAGACTGGTTGCTTCGCAGCCGCGGTGGAGGGATCCTCGAAAGGTGGTGGGTGAGGGTGTGGCCACGGGATGAAGGGAATGATCCCGCCCGTCGCTCCGCTCCCTGTGTCCCTTAATTTGTGTGGACGCACGTACAATTATTCCTTCACTGAGGCATTTTATAGGATCATGAATTATTAAAGGCAGGGACGTACACACATGTATTTGTAAACTTTTATTTTAACAGAATACCACTTCGCCTACGAGCGACACCTTTTTAACACAGGCTTTTTCAATCCATGTAAGTAAAATTCTGAAATGGGCTACGTCTCTTAGGAAGGCTATTGCCATGTGTTACACACACCCGCTTTGGCTCATGAAAGTTGAGATGAAAAATTTCTGCTCAAAGTTTAAAACTTAAATATGTTTAATTTTTATAATAACAAGAGGTTAGACATTTGGAAATTCTGCTCTAGGCTCTTAAAAAAAACACACACACACACAAGAAAAAAACAAAGGCTATACACTTTATTTTTTAAAAAATATTTTCCCTTTATTGATTTTTAGAGAGAGAGGAAGGGAGAGGGAGAGAGAGAGAGAGAGAGAAACATCGATGAGACAGAACATCGATTGGCTGCCTCCTGCATGCCCCCCACCAGGGATGAGGCCCACAACCTGGGCCTGGGCCCTGACTGGGGGTCAAACCGGCAACCTCTTGGTGTAGGGTCCACCCTCAACCACTGAGCCACACCGGCCGGGCAGGGCCACCCACTTAAGTAGACATTAGAACTGCATCCCACTCAGCTTTGATTGGAGTTAGCGTTACACGTTCTCCACCCAGGACACTTCTGTTGTGCTGGTCCTTCTGCTGGGTCAGCGACAGCCCAGACGGAACCACGCGAGATCACTCAACGCGCGTGACTCGGAGCCGCGGTCTGGCCGTGCGTTCTTGTCTGGGACGTGCCATTGTTGTTCCTCTTACTTCTGTTCCCCTCAGTGCTCTTCAGTGCCCGGCGAAAAGCGGTCTGAGGGACTCCTCCCGAAGGGTCCAGTGCTCCGCCTGTAATCCGCCCTTCAGCTCGGCGTCCAGGTGCGTCTCCGTGAGCAGGGCCGTGGGTGACCGTGGGTGATCGGGGGCCACGGTGGGCAGGCCCAGGCCTCAGTGAGCCAGTGTGGGCGGCTGCAGACCCGGACGCTTTCCTTACCTGCCCAGGTGACGCATGCAGGGGCCTGGGCAGGTGCTGGGGGCCGCGTGACCAAAGCCTCCCCGGCCCCTCCCCGTGTCCCGCAGTTGTGAGCATCACCGGGAGCCGTGCCGCAGCAAAGCCAGGTTCGTGTGCAAGGCTGGCAGCTGTGGGAAGAGGCTGAAGAGCAGAGACGCCCTGAGGAGACACCAGGAAAACGTCCACGCTGGTGAGAGCTCCCGGAGGGTGGCTCCGAAGGCGTCCCCTCCCCGCCGCGGCCATCTGTCTGTCATTGACACCGCGGGGCAGAGAGCCGGCCTTGCCCTCGGAGCGCCCACAGAGACCGGGCCCTGGCCGCGGCTGTTCCTTCCCCCTGACGCTGTTTCGGCAGCTGGTCGCGCTGCACGGCCGGCGTGAGGAGCTCGGTGGAAGGTCCGGCTGGGGAGCACAGCTTCTGGGCAGTGCCCGTGCTCCGACGGCCGGGGTTCCGATCCCTTCTTCCCTCTGAGGCTGACGTCAGGGCGACAGCATTTTCCCGACTCCTTGTCCTCGGCCTCCTATGCGGGCAAAGGGCGAGCCTGGCTTCTGGACAGGCCCGCCTCCGTCGGTTTCCCTGTTTTCTCTGTCTCCGACTGTTGTGTTTAAAACGCTGTTCTTCATTTTCTCCGTCTCTGACTGTAATGTATTATAACAGATCTTTCTCGTCGTCTGTGAAGTTAACTCTGCTGAACTAAGTGAAAAGCCAGATGCTGCAACCAGCTCCGGACACTGGGTCCCGCGTGTTCCGGGGCAGGTGGCCCCCATGTGCAGTGTCTGCATCTTTTCTTCAGTGCTTCTTGGCCTTGGCCTTGGATGTTACAATGTTACTCATTCTGGAAACTTGTGGTGATTTCGTAGGAAGTTGTGTACAAATGAGGTCCTTTGTGTTGCTATGCTGGGGGTCGTATAAAACGTGGGGCTTACAGTTTCCAGCCAGAGGTCCCCATGTACACCCTTTGCCAGGACTGGTACACAGTCTGACCCGTGCCAGGCCTCTCTCCGGTGTCTCCCTCTTCTCTGTGACCTGTACGGACTTTGGGGGAGAGAATATTCTCTACGCAGAAGCAGAGCATGTCCACACGTGGATGTCCACACACATGGATGTCCACACACATGGATGTCCACACCTGTGGCTGCAGAACCCTCTGCTAGAAAGGCTGGGATTCTGGGCAGGAGAAGGGCTCGGAGCCTTGACCCCTGGTGATGAGCAGTGGTCCTAGCCAGTGACGTGAGTTGAAGATGCTGAGAAGAGAGAAGCTGAATTTTTTTGTTAGCGCTGGCCTTTTATTTTATTTTCAGAGAGAGAGGCAGAGAGAGGGAGAGAGAGACAGAAACATCGATGAGAGAGAACATCGACTGGCCGCCTCTTGCATGCCCCCCACTGGGGATCGGGCCCACCACCTGGGCATGTGCCCTGGCCAGGATTCGAACAGAGACCTCTTGGTGCTGGGTCAATGCTCAACCACTGAGCCACACTGGCCAGGTGAGAAGCTGAAAATTTAAATAAGCATTACATTTAAAAAATGTTTATTGAATTTTTAGAGAGAGGAAGGGGGAGACAGAGAGAGTAAGAGAGGGAGAAACATCAATCAGTTGCTTCCCACATGTGCTCTGGCTGGGCGTCAAACCTGCAACCTGGGCATGTGCTCTGTCCAAGAATCAAACCCACCACCGTTTAGAGCAGGGACGGCGTTCTAACCGCGGAGCCACACCAGCCAGGGCAGCATCACATTGTCCCATAGAAACTGTAACATGTGGCTAATGATGGGTGTTAAACCAGCCCCTAGGAGCATGCTGAGCCCCCATCTGCCGGAACTCACAGTGACTGACCTCGTGTTCCGTCCTGTTCTATTCATCTCTCACCTAGCTCCTCCCTTTGTAAGTTATGTATTCCTGAATCTTTTTGAAAATTGAATCTGAGAGTCAAATACCAGATTTACCTGAATACAGGAAAACTACAATAGTATAAAGGTGAGTTTGGCTTGGTAGGTGCTACTGTCCTTGAACCTGCGGATGAGGGTAGGGTGGTGAGGACCTGCGTGTTACCCAGGAGGAAGCAGGGAAGGGGCTGGCTTCCCTCACCCACGTCCCATCGTTCCCCTTCGCCTAAATCCTGTGGACACCAGCTGCGAGATTTTGTATTTGTGGGAGATAACGTTTATCCATAGTCTCAGGCGAACAGTCGCAAACTATTCCCATCTTTCTCCAGGGAGTGAGGACTCCAGTTCTAGACGGAAGAACAGGGGATGTGAGGAGGAGAAAAATCCTTAGAAACACTGCTTCAGATGCTCCTCTGCATATTCTCATGTAAATCATGTTGGTATTTCGTTTCTATTTTAGGAGATCCGAAGAAAAAGCTCATATGCTCAGTGTGCAATAAAAAGTGTTCTTCAGCATCCAGCCTACAGGAGCACAGAAAGGTCAGTAAGATGAAGACTGATGCTCGTCAGGGTAAAAGATGATTTCAGTCATGTATGGTGTCTGCCGTGTCCATCGAAGTTGATGTTTTATATTGTAGAGAGATCTTGTCATTCATTTAAATACAAACATTTTATTTATTTATTTAAAATTTTTTTTTTATCTTTACCCAAGGACACTTTCCCGTCTATCTTTAGACAGATTAAGAGGGAGGGAGAGAGAGAGAAACATCGATGTGAGAGAGACACATCGACTGGTTGCCTCCCACACGACCCCAGGGTTGGGGACGAACCACAACTGAAGCACATGCCCTTGGCCAGAATCGAACCCGGGTCTCATTGGTCAGGGCAGCACAAACATATTTGAAAATGCAAGACTGGATGTGGAAGAGTAAACTCTTCCAAAAAATATTTCGAGTCATTGTTCGGAATCAGTAGAAATAGTCCTCGAATGTCCTCGAATGCAGTGGAAGGCCAGCTGACTCCTTCATCTGCCAGCTTCATCGGTTGCTGTTTCAGGGTTTGGTAGCTCTGAGTCCCACCGGTGGTGGTGGGGTGCAGTAAGTTATCTCTAGAGTATTGATCACTGGTTAGCTCAGTGCGTCATTCCCTCCATTGAAGCATAGCTCCTCTAACAGGCTGTCGGAAGCCACAGGCAGCTTTGACAAACGCCCGATCTAGTCAAAGACATCTTGGATTCAGCTGGGGACATCTAATGTCTAGTAGAGGTTGGTTGCAGTATTTCACATTGCCAGTAGATGGAGCTTTAAAACGATGCCAAATTACATTCTCGTCTAGCGTAGGATCCTATATTACTGGATACTGTCCTGCATTCCAATAAGATGCACTGTGAGCCTTCTTGAAAATTATTTAGTTTGGGACTCGAAATTAAAATTATTACCCAGCCTATCAAGTCAGTACACTGGACATTTTACAAAATGCACGTTATTTAGCGTGATCGGTAAGTAAATTGCGTTACTTATCATTTTCACTCTAAATTTAATTGCTTTATGAAACGTTTTCAGGAGTTTTGAAGATAGCTTTGGCCTGAATTTTCCACTGTAAATATGATATCCAATGCAAAAGTGCTTTCATGCACAGTAAATGCTATTTTATAATTTGGGCAATATCGGTTCAATTCAACCTTTAAAAATGTTGTGTGCTTCAGAAGTCATGAGAGTTGGAAGTGAACAAATAGGATTGTTATTCTGCAGTACTTTGAAGTTTACCTTGTATGTATGACTTAATAGTTTTTTTATATTTTGTATGCTAATAAAAGTTTAACATTAACAATGAAAATAAATATGACTTCACTGCTGGATGGCTGAGAAGGCATACCACCTTCTCTGGAGCGTACTGTTCTGCAGGGTGTTATTATGTACTGCAGACACGTAGAGTTTGAGAACAGGCATCTGTTCTTACTGTTGTTAAATAAGCGTTGGCCCTCAATGTCGGTGCTCAGCCGGAGCCTCCGAGGTCTCTGATGATCGGAGAGACTGTCTTCCAGATGGCTCAGGTTGGACTGTTTTCTTCTATCCCGCACGCCGTCTGCGTACCTGTGTGGACCCCACCCTGCTTTCTGAGGGACCCTGGGGCTCTCTGGACTGCACACACCCTGGTCGGATTAGATGCCCCTGCATTGAGGGGTGTAGTCAGACTGGCGGGGTGACATCTTCTTCTACCTGTTTCTCTGCCTCACCAAGGACCGGCTCTGACCACCGCTCCAGGAGGGTGGCATCCTCCGACCTGCCGTGTGGTTGGGCACAGAATGAAGGCCCAGAGTGCAGGCCTGAGTCTGTGTCCGCCCCTCTCCCCTCGTTGGAGGGCCGCTCGATCCAGGGAGCCGTTTACCCGGAGACAACAGTCCTCCCCTCGTTGCTTCTTGCTGTGCCCGGTCAGAGACTTGACTTTTCTCTCTGTAAGGGCCCTCGCTGCTCTGCAGGGGTGACCGTGGTGTCCTGACTTCCCGCACAAGTGCCTCTGTTGGCCTGAAGCCGAGACAAACCGTGACTCCACCACAGTCATTTCTACTTCTTCAGCCAAACACGGCGGCGCTCCTGTGCCTTGGGGTGATCAGCACTCCCGGCGGACGGCTTCATCCGGTTCAGTCCTGATAGAACTTTGTGCCTCGTTTATGAGGATGAACCGGACTTGCCCTCTCATACCTGCCGTCCAGCCTCTCCGATGCGGTGTCCGCGCGGGAGGAACCGAACCCGCGGTGCAGCTGCGAATTCTGCCACCAGTCGCTGGCTAGAGTTGTCCCCCTGTTGGTGTTGGTGTTTGAGCTTTTCTGTTTCTTGTGTCCTCCTGCGGTGTGAGAGGTTTCCGGGGACCTAACTGTTTTGCAGTCACACAGCTTCTCGTCCTTCATGGTTCCCCACGGTGTGTTCTGTGCCACACGCTGTCAAGTTTAAAATACTGCTGCTACCGTAACAGGAATATTGCTCCCCGCAGGGCCAAGCCTCCATGTGTGCACAAGGAAGAGTTAGTAGGGTACGCTGGTGTAACTGTTTGCAGAGAGGGTCCATTTAGTACCCGCTGGGTAGGTCAGCAGTACCCCGAGTTTCGACAGCGTGCAGTCCTCTTTCCTTCCAGTGCTGTGTGTTTACGGGGTACCGACGCCTCCTGCTGTTTCCGTTAGTGGAAGACAGAAGGACGAGATTAGGGCTGAATTGTAATATCCGGTTTGGTCAGTGCGGTGGCCACTGTCAGTACGTAGTTTCAGTTGCGCTCTATATAATTTATTTGCTTTGACGGTTGAGCTAACTGTCAGTTTAACCTTTTGCAGGTTCACGAGATATTTGATTGTCAAGAATGTATGAAGAAGTTTATTTCAGCGAATCAGCTAAAACGTCACATGATCACCCACTCAGGTAAACTACCTGTTTTTCAATCCGAATTGAAGTCACTGCAGATGTTCAGCTTGTCATTTTCAGGAGCTGAGGGGTCATCCCGGGGCGGCTGTTGCGTGAGCTCAGCCAGAACGAGGTGCTTCCTTAGCTTCCCTGGACCTCGGTCTGTGGGGAGCGAAGGTGGGTGGACTGAATCTTCGGACGACCTCCGGAGCACCCGTTCGCTCGTCCCTCGCTGCCCCTCGAGCTCAGTGTCCGCAGCCTCGTCTGGAATGGGACGCTGGTTCTCCGCTGTGAGCCGTGGTGCAGGGAAATGAGCCCGGTTCCCCCGGTGCCCACAGGCTCTGACCCAGGACCCGGCCCTCTGCTGCCGGTCCGCCTTGCCTGGCGCTTGGCCCCGCTGAGGTCCTACTATGTGTTAGTGAGACGTGTACAAATACGTTTTGAGAATGTAAGATGTTAAAGCCGTAGTTTCATGTTAATCAAGTTTGCATAAAAGAGGGCTGATACCCAGATTTTTAGATACGATCAGCTCTGGATCGTATTTTGCTTGACGAAGTGTCTCTCGGGGGTTCGGATGGCTGTGCCCTGAGGCCGTGTAGTCGGTGCTGCGGAACACCCACTGTGCCTGCAGACAGACTCGCGTTTCAGCGGGCGGACCTGGGGGGGCCGGCGCCCTTCGGACAGGCGCCTTAGAAACGGGCTCCTCTCCACCCCGTGGTCCCCATCCCATCGATCCCGTGTCCAGAGGGGTTTTTCACAAGCTCCTCAGGGCGTGTTTCCCCAGACGCGGAGATCCGCTGGAGGGCTCGGGCCCAGCAGGAGGCGGTGTGTCCTTAGGTGCGTGGCTGTGGGCCCTTCCTGCCCTCGGAGTGCACGACAGAAACTCGGCCCACCGCTGATTTCTCTGGGGGTGGGGTTTCCTCCTTGCATTTGAACTTGGTCTGTATCTGAGCGGCTCCGACGTGTCCGCAGAGCGGGTCTATGAAGGACTGGCTTACACTTCCTTGCGAGCAGCCCCTGGCCGCGTGGATAGACCGTGCCAGAGCTGTCGCTGGGCCTCTGGTCACGTCCCAGTCGACGTTCCCAGGAGCAGTGGCGGGGGGGCGAGGCTGCTTCTCCGTGGGCTCTTTCCCCTGTGCACCTACGCGCCCCTCCACCCCTGTCCCGCAGAGAGACGGCCCTACCACTGCGAGATCTGCAACAAGTCCTTCAAGAGGCTGGACCAGGTGGGCGCCCACAAGGTGATCCACAGCGAGGACAAGCCGTACAAGTGCCGGCTCTGCGGAAAGGGCTTCGCCCACCGGAACGTGTACAAGAATCACAAGAAGGTAACGCGGATACGGGCTCTGTTCCCGCCGTGCGCCCGCGTGCGTTCCTGTTGTCTCTCCTTCAGAGGGCATTCCTCTGTGTCTGGGCGGGGCGTCCCTGGTGACCGGAGGCCCGGGCAGGGCGTCCCTGGGTGACGGGAGGCCCGGGCAGGGCGTCCCTGGGTGACGGGAGGTCTGGGCAGGGCGTCCTGGGTGACGGAGGCCTGGGCAGGGCGTCCTGGGTGACGGGAGGCCTGGGCAGGGCGTCCTGGGTGACGGAGGCCTGGGCAGGGCGTCCTGGGTGACGGAGGTCTGGGCAGGGCGTCCTGGGTGACGGGAGGCCTGGGCAGGGTGTCCTGGGTGACGGGAGGCCTGGGCAGGGCGTCCTGGGTGACGGGAGGCCTGGGCAGGGTGTCCTGGGTGAAGGGAGGTCTCGCTGTGGCTGCCACCTCCCCGGGATGTGACCCCTGGGATCCCTGGGACCCCTTTCCATCCTCCCCTCTCCCAGAGACGTCCTGATTGCGCACCTGATCCTCTTCCCTCTTCCTGAGGGCTGCCGTGCCTGTTCCATACCTTCCTGAAATCCTCCTCTGTGGTGCGTCTGCGCCGCTGCGTCCCCACCAGGTCCCCGTGCATGGCGTCTCCCCCGGGCTCTGGATGCGTTGGCTGGACCTCACCTGTCTTCCCAGCATCATCTCCAGCGGTGACTTCCGCTGTCAACGCTGTGCTGACGAATTCCAAAGGATTCGTCTGTTCAGTCCCCAGGGTCAGACCCACAGTCACAACTGCTTATTTGATACACGACTGGGCATCTTTTTGACCCGATGGATTTCACATGTCCCAGAGTAACCTTTTCATTCTTTCTGCCCCAGATAACCTCTCTTTTGGAGTCTTTCCTATTTCTGTCCATGACAAAAGCGTCGAAACATCCCCGCATCTCTTTTGTCTTCGCCCCTTTGTGGAATCGGGGGGCTGTTCTTCAAGATGCTACGCTCGGCGCGACGTCACCACCTTCTCACACACGGTGCTTTTACCGCCGCAAATCGTCATCGCGGCCATGCCCGTCTAAGGAGGCCTCTTGCCTCGCCACTTCCCACGGCGGTCCTCCGCTCTCTGCGCCCCTAAATCAGCGGGCCTTTGCCTCAGTCCGCGTGACCCACTCCCCGTCCCCCTTGCTCACGGGACTCTCCTCGGGTTATCACCGCGTAGTGTTCTCTCTGGATTTTGGTTTGCGTTTCCCGCGCGCCTCTCGAGCTCTTGTTTCAGAGAGTGTGGTTTCGTCTTACCTGCTGGGTGTAGATAATAAATAGTGTTTGACTCGAACTCAGAGAATGTGTCCAAAGGGACTCAGCATCTTAGCAATGCATGTTAAAATGTCCCTGTGATGTGCTAAATACTCGCTTCTTGGGTTTGGTTGCTAGACTCATGCTGTGAAGTAACATGTGTATAATAGCTTTTCACATAACGTGTTACTTTTTCTCCACTTGCAACATTCCAGGGGACTTACACAGTTGACCCTTGCACAGTGCGGAGCTTAGCGGTGCTGACCCCCGCACGGCCGAAAATCTTGTATAACCTTTGGCTCCCCAAAAGATTAACGCTGACAGACTACTGTTGACTGGGAGTCTTACAGATAACAAGAACAGTCTGTTAACATATGTTTTGTATGTGACATGCATTATAAACTGTATTCTTCCAATAAAGTAAGAAAATGAAAGAAAAGACATGAAAAGACGACCATAAAGAAACAAAAATACATTTACAGTATATATTGGGAAAAAAACAAACTCACGTGTAAGTGGACCTACACAGTTCAAACCCATGTCGTTCAAGGGTTGGCTGTAGTTATTTCAGTATTTGTTGGGACTTTTCAAAGACATTTCTTTTGACATCATTTGAAAAGTTATGATTTCAGTCTCAAAAGAAAAAAGAAAAAGGCACACTTACGTGAGAATGAACAGGTTTGACCGATGGCGTCTCAGACGGTCTCTGCCTAAGTTCTCTCTGGCTCCTCAGGGTGGACCAAGCCATACGCTCGGGCGGGGTCACCTTGGTGCTGTCCCCACTGTTCTGGGCTGCGTGACGGTGACGCCCCTCGGGCCAGTGTCCCGCTCAGCCTCCCGAGCTCTCCTGCTCTCTCTCTGATGAAACTGATCTGCCCACATTTATGAGTGTTTCACAGTGTGGCGGCCGTTATGTGTCCTGTGGGAGTTCGGCCCGGTGCTCTGCACCGTCTCGCGTGCTTCTGGCCATAAATCATGTGGAAGTAATGATGATGTCTCGGGGAGGGCAGGAACAGGGGTGCTGTCAGCCCACCTGCTGCGGGGAGATGAGCTGCCCGCGGGGTCACGGTTCGCGCGTGTGCTGTGGTTCCGGGAAACGTTAGGAGAAAAAAGCGAATCGACTTCTTCTGTCCTTGCTCATTAATGGCCCATAGGACGTGGAAAAGTAGGGATACGTAAGGAAAGCAGAAAAAACCATTAGGTCGAGTCCGTGATCCTCATTTCGTGTGACCAAAAGAGGTTATTTCAAATAAATTAGCTCTTTTTGTTGTTGTTGTTGATGATGATGTAACCTGTGTGCTTTTAGTATACATATTTGATTTATTTGGGGGCCAGGTATTTGAACATGAGATTTTCTTGAAGCGGGAACGTGGTCATTCATTGTGATTGTGACAGTGCACCGTGAAATTTCCAAAGAGTGATTTCTGTTTCTAAAGGGAATGGCTTCATCCTCTGGCCAGTCGTGTGGGTCACCCCAAGTGTTCCTTCTCCTGGACCCTTTCTGGTGATCACTTGGCCTGATTCGTAGTTGTAGTTGAGGACTGAGCTACAATGAAGATTGTCTGTCTGGATCCAAGTACACGTAGGTTCTGCAAACCACAGTTGGACACACGCTTTGGAACCACAGAGGCAGAACCACTCAGTTAGTCTTCACCCCCCTCCATTCCCTATCAGACTTCATGCCAAGCAAGACTGGGCCAGGGTGAACCTCCCCCTTCAGGCAGGACGGGCGTCTGGCCAGACTGAACGGGCCGGGCCCTGGGGCTGGCGGTACGCGCGATGGGGGAGGTGTGTGCAGGGGGCTTTGTCTTGATGAAGTCGAGAATGAGCTCCTGGGGGACAAAGGTGTGTCTCATCTCATGAAAGACCCCTTTCTTGACCCTTTCCGCAACCATCCAGAGGTGAACTTGGACAGGCCCATTGGGACCTCTGGTCACACCCTCTGTCGGAAGAATCCCATTGGGCCCCTGCAACACCACGTCATCCAGTGATTTCCAGACCCAGGGTCATGGCCATTCGGTGGGTTTGAAATCAGCCTTCGGGGCCCTGAGTAGCCATTAAAAATAGCCCAGAAAATGTAAGAACAAGGGTCATTTAATGAAATAATATGTCAGTGTATGTGTTTATGCGTGTGTGTGTGTGTTGGATTTTTGTAGTTAAAGGTATTTCTTTGGTCATCGACAAACGTTTTGAGAGATCCTGCCGATCAGACTTTGACCAGGTGAAAGTTCATGAGACCTTAGAGAAAAGGATAGGCCTTTCTCTAAACAGATCACGGACTAGGTGCTAAAACCACAATTACAGAGCCACCAGAAGAATCCTCGGCCATCCGTTGGGGGGTTCCAGGTTGAGACTAAACGTCAGGCACCGGGTGGTTGCGTCATGGCCCCTTTTACTCCAACTGCGCGCCCGACGTCCCTTCTTTTTTTTTTTTTTTTTTTTTTTTTTTTTTTTATGCATTTTTTATTTATTTTTTTGTTACAGATATTTTACCTTTTTACCCCATTGGCACTCCCCACCCCACCCCACCTCCACCCCGTCCCCGGCTTAGTTGTCCATGTCCATTCGTCATGCATACATGCATATAAGCTCTGTGGTTTATCTCTTCCCACCCTCCCACCCGCCACCCCCTCTTCTGAGGGATGTCAGTCTGTGCCCTACTTCCATGTTTCTGGGTCTACTGTATTCCTCAGACTGTTATGTTCATTATATTCCGTATATAAGTGAGATCATATGGTATTTGCCGACGTCCCTTCTTGGCGCCCGCGGCAGGAGAGGCAGGACGTGTTCATCCTGTGCTGGGTTGTACCGGCTTCCTCCTCATCGCCTCGGAAACTAGAGCGATGCAGCGTGTTATCCGCAGAGTGGGGAGAGACACGGTGGCTGTTCCCGCATTTCAAAGAGCTTCCTCGTGGGAGAGAGAACAGACGTGTGAGGTTGCGGCGGCGGAGCCGTCGGGTGCGTGGTCCGCGACGTGAGCCGGCAGGTCCCGTTGGGGGCAGGGTTGCCGGAAGCGTCCTCGGTTAGCAGGCTCCTCGCGTGGGAACCTCAAGGGCGGCCTTCGAGGAAGACAGTCTGGGTGTCCTTACGCCATCTCCACACACTGTCACTTCGAACTCGGGGGGCTTGTCTCTGGAGCAGTGCAGGGGTCGGGCGCGGCCGTGCCCGGCTGTGATTCCGAAAGAGCGTCGCTGACATGTCATGATCCTCTGCTCGGTGCGGTGTGACCTGCCCTGTCCTGGGCTTGGAAACGCCGCTGTCCCTCCCGAGAAGCCGCTGTCCCTCCCGAGAAGCCGCTGTCCCTCCCGAGAAGGAGACCTGGGAAGAAGCCAGTTATAAAGCTGACAGTAACCATCCAATTCACAGGCCTTGTAAACAGCCAGATGACACACATTTTATGCAGCTTTAGGTTTATCCTGTGACCCAACGGGACAGTAAGAGGCTCGTGATATGCAGAGTGGAGACTTCAGTAACAAAACGTCTTTATTTTTTTTAATGAGAATAGTTCCAACACCCATATTTCTGGAATATTTTCTCCACGTTTATTTCATCTCTGTGCTTCCCTTGAGTTTTATGACTGTTTTCTTGCCTTGCCCACGGCCCAGAGGAGAGCATTTCCGAAGAGCCTGTTCTGTGGAGCCGCTCCCGTTACTGAGAGTGAAGGTTGTCGTGTTTCATCGAGAATGGCCCGATGAAAACCTCATTCTGCTCCCACGAAATTAATATTCCGTCCGCGTGGCTGGAAATGCGCTAATTTGGTAATTATTATATGAAAATTACGCTGTAAACCGTCTGGAGCATTTTTGTGACAGTTTATGAGGTGTCATAAATAGGGGAACGGATTTCCTCACGCGTTCCCAAGTCTGCAACAGGGACCAGGCCGGTGCAGAGAAGGGCCCGTTTCACTGCGCGGCCCGCGGACTCGCCCTCCGTGTCGGCGGATGCTGATGCCGTAACTGGACATTGAAACAGGATTACGCGATGGATGTCGGCGCGGAGGTTGTCTCCCTTCAGAGATGGGACACCGGAGGCGAGGTCTCCTTGAAGAGAGCTACACTGTATCCGGGGCATGTGGACTCGGTCCCTCCACTTACCTCATCTCAGGTGACCGCTAGGGCTCTTCCGAGCGACTGCGCGTGTGGCTTCTCCACGGCGACATCGCGACTCGGTGGGCGGTGTCCAGTCTTGAGACAAAGGCGGTCATCCCCCTGGCTCCGCGCTGTCAAACTGCTTCTTTTTTTTTTTTTTTTATCCTCACCCGAGGACATTTTTCCATTTTTTTTGTTTGTTTGTTTTGTTTTGTTTTAGATAGAGCGGGAGGGAGAGAGAGAGAGAGAAACATCGATGTGAAGGGACACATCGAGTGGCTGCCACCCGCACGACCAACCAGGGCCGGGGACAAACTGCAACCGAGGCACGCGCCCTTAGCGGGAACCGAACCCGGGTCTCTCTGTACCGCAGGCCGACGCTTTAACCGCTGAGCCAAATCGGCCAGGTCTTAAACTGCTTCTTAAAATGCGCTGTTGACGTCCGGCGGCACGTCAATGGGTGTCTTTGGTTCGCTTCACCTGGTCGCACAGCGTTGGGCTGCCCCGTTTCTCCGTAATCAGCCCGCGGGGTCGTGTCCCCAGGTTGACGTGTGCTGGGTTTGGAGGAGAGGAAGCAGGACATAGGGCGGGGCATAATATTTGGGGTGCCTGGAGCAACCCTATGTTTCAGACCTTTTTGCTTTGCGTTTTAGAATTTAATTCTTTCTCTGCCATGATTGTCTGGGTTTCTGACATGGTTAGAAAACCTTTCCCCATTCAAAAATTATATATTTAATCTGTTATGATCACATATATCTCATCCTTGCGCAGGGGCCGGGCTAACCTTCTCTGTATCGCTGCAGTTTTAGTACGTGTGCTGCTGAAGCCATAGTAACTTCACTTATATTTTCTTCTAGTATGCTTAGGGTTTTATGCCAAACTTGTAAAAAGACACCTGCATTGGAATGGGATTTATTTTCTTGTAAGGGGTGTGAAATAGACTGAACCTAATTTTTTCCTGAATGTCTGTAGAGTTGCTTAAAACCATTTACGAAACATTTTATGGTTTTCCTGTCAATTTGAAATACCACAGTTTTCTACCCTGAATGTTCATATACTTATGTAATGAAAGAAACCTTCTTGTTTCTATTTTATTGATCTGTTTCTTTCCACCTATCGTTTCAAATTTCTGTGGCTTACATGGCACATTTGAATATCTGTAGTTTATCCTGATGTTTAAATATTGTTCCTCCTCTTGTTTCTCTCTCTTTCACAACCGAAAAGAGGCAAGGTAATACCTTTCCCAGCGACACTGTGTTCGTAGGTCTTACAATGTCCATTAGACTAAGACAATGTATAAATTACTATGTTGTGAATAAAGAGATTTCCTTTACATTATCCCCTTTATTTTTATACCACATGCATCATAAAACTCCATCGATTACCTAACCTATTTCATTCTAATAAGAGAGCACAGCTTAATTTCTGATACCATGGTGTCATCTTGCCATCCAGGGTGGGATAGGGTTTTGTCCCCTGATTTATGCCCAATGGGTTCATGCTGGTGTAGAACGGAAAACGGGTTTTTGCTTTTGCGTTTTAGATGGAGCAGGTGGTCTGCCGCTTTGTTGGTGATCAGCATCATCTGTGTGTCGTGTTAAGTGGGGCTCGCTGCCTCTGTGCTGTTGGACATTCGGCAAATCGCTGCCTCTATCTGAGCCTCAGCCCTCGTGTCTGTAAATGGGGCCGTCACAGCACTGCCGCTAGAGTTACGCGAAGTAACTCATGGAGAGTGTCTGGCATCGGACACTAAGTAAACATTCAGTGCTTGTTAATTGTCCCAGGAGTGAGCGCTCGGGTTTGATTCGGGGGAAGCACCCCCTGGGATTAGCACTCGTGTGGAGGTACTCTCTGACGTTGAGGGGAAGGGTGGAATGGTCTCCCCGGTCCCTTTCTGTGGGTGGCGCTGGCCTGGCACTGTTAAAGCCTGTCACTGACCAAGGGACATCCGTCTCAGAAGCCACACATTAACAGACTCAAAGGAGAGCCTGAGAATCTCCGTGGGTATTCAGGGGAGTATTTTGTGGTTGTGGCACAGGTTCCATTCCCCAGGTTTCGCCTCTAATTAGTGCGAGACTTTGGAAGGGCACGTGTGTTCTCCTGTGAACACGGCATCTTCGCGTGGAGGGTTTCCCGGGGAGGAGGGTCACCAGGGAAAGCAGGACACTGGCTACGCTCCCTGCTGTCCTCTTCCTCATCTCGAACCCAGGCTCTGCGCTCCCCTGACTCAGTGTCTCTGCCTGCAGACCCACTCTGAAGAGAGGCCGTTCCAGTGTGAGGAGTGTAAGGCCCTGTTCCGGACCCCGTTTTCCTTGCACAGACATCTGCTCATACACAACAGTAAGTGCGTGCAGGGGGCCGAGGGCGCCGGAGGCCCACGCTTGGCCTGGCCCCGGGGGGCGGCGCGGGAGGGTACCGCCTGGAGGAGGTGTCGGCTGGACTCTCGGGACAGTTACTCCGCCTTTTACCGATTCTTCCTTCACCCTGGCTTTATTTTCCCACAGTGAGAGTCACTGTTTTATGAGACATTTTATTTTATATCCCTTCTTCCCGTCATTAAAGTTTGTATAGAAAAATGTTTTCTGTGTTCGGCAAGGTATCTTTGAAATTTGTTCTAAACCAGACATTCGGTCCTTTTTCAATGTAGCAACTTATACGCTAGGCTGCCGAAATGTTCTACATTTTGATCTGAGTAGCAGTTACCTGGGTTTACACACACGCGAATCCCATCGGGGTCTGGGCCCTTCCCAGTAACACACGAGTGTGATGAATAAGGAGCCGAACGGCCTGCCGGATGCAGGAGCGCAGACCTCAGTTGCCATGGCAGCTGGGGAGGGCGGGGACACATCCACTGTGACCTCTTCGTTGGAGGAATTGAGAAGGTTGAGGCGCAGAGAAACGCAGGGACGGACTCGGGGCTCCACGGGCTGGGCAGCCAGGTCCCTGAGCGTCCGAGGCCTTCCCTGCTCACCACGCCGCCTGTGTCCTTGCTTCTCGGGCGTGGTTTCCTGTGGTTTCTCACAGTCCGCCCCGGGCAGTCTGCCTGGCAGTCACACGTGGAACTATGTTTACAAGACCCGGGTGCATGGCCACGTCGCTGAGGGACATCGCTGTGCTGCAGAGAGAATGTCACTGCTCAGCTGAATTTGCACGTGGGTCCCTGGCAGGCGTTCGACACCGCTGCATCTAACATGACAAAAAGACGGCACACCGTCGGAGCAGCGGCACTTCTTGCTTTTAACTGAAGTTGTTTACTCCGTAGAACCCCCTCTACACATGAAATTTCTGCTGCGGATTAGATTTTTAATATTTCTGAGGAAAGCAAAATAATTGCTCATTCTTGACAGCTGATTGTACAGATAAGACTACGGTATCTTAGAAGAAATGTGTTATCAACAAAAATATCTAAAAATCAGAATGACAACGATATTAAAGTTGTTATGACTACTGAGGGTAATGATGGTAATAAATGCATCTTTTCCCATCGAAAAGGTCATGCTTTGATCTCATGCTGCTGCTCTGGAGACGTTCTTAGCGTGACTCTCTGTTCTCCCTGTGAAGAACAACTGTACGTTTAACAAAGTGTGTCGCGTAACAGCAGGGATTCCCATTCCGTCCCACTGTCGTTTGATTAAGGGCAATAACTGTTATGAGATGAATGGATTTTAGAAGAGGAATTTAGAGAGGTGAGTCTCGTTCTTACTATGAAGACTTATCCACTTGACCCGATGCTCAGGAAATTTTTCTTTGGATAGATGAACTTTTATTTTTAATACCAGCAAGGCATTTTCAGGAGAAGGAATTAAATACTTATGATCTCCTCCTGCTGCTTCTCATCAGTTTGAGGCAAAGGATTGAGGCGACCAAGGTTAGACCGCGCTTGTGTGTCTAGTGTAATGTTGATCAGCACAGCGATCGGGGGTTTATGAAGCATTTGGTTTGAAAGATCAGCTCTGGGATTGAGTGAGAAATGGGTGACTTAGGTACAGTTAGACCTCAGGTAAGGCCAGTGAGCTAGAAGGCTGGGAACCTAGAAATAGCAGGTCTTGTCCTACACAACATGACAATTAACACTTGCTTAACTCCACAACATGAAGGCAGTTATTATAAACTTACATCAGCTCCAGATATGAGGAAAACTTGTCATAATTATTTTGGAAATTATTGCTGTTTTCTAAGACTCTGAAAACCAAAAGGCATGTTACTAGCCAGCTGCTTGGTTTTAAAATAGGGAAACATTCTGATAAATTTAAGGCAAAGTAATCTGGGAAAATCAGATGAAATCTCCAATCAGAATTTTAACATTCTGATAAACCTGAAAACCAAGAAATCTGGAATTAAAGTGAAAGAAGAAAGTACAACTCAGTGAGCTTTTCTTCGGGAACCATATTTTGATTCACTTGACAGCTTTATGAAAATGCTTTGACAGGAGCAATCTTGGAGGATTTGGTTTTTAATTTCTTTCAGTGCCCAAATAAGAGTTGGTATTATTAACACTTGTAACCTTCTGTCAACTGGTATTTCATTTTACTCTCACTAGTTATATATTTTATACAAATAAAATGCTTAGATATATCTAAAGAGATATATAAAGAGAGACAGGAAGAGACAGAGATACATGAAGAGATACACATAGAGATACATAAAGAGATACATGCAGAGATACATAGAGATTCATGAAGAGATACATGAAGCGATAGAGATTCATAAAGAGATACATGAAGCGATACATGAAAAGATACATGAAGAGATACACAAAGACAAGCTCGGTTGCAACAGTAACACCACAACCAGATGCACAAAGGCGTAAACAAAGCTCTCAGAATGCACCCTATTCTTGAATAGTTCCATGTGACTTTGTTTCAGACATCAGATTTCAACAGGCCTCTAAGAGACTAAATAGCCATCATTCTGTTTGAAAAGACAAAGGGAGAGTGGTTTCTCTTTTGCTTCTCTCTGTCTTTCTTTAAATTTGCTGTGAGGAAATAGTAGGATCTCGCTGTACCGTGTGCTGGTTAGAATGGAGGGCGTCTGGAGGTTGGAACTGAGGGCATCTCTTACTGAGATGCAGAAAGTTATCTGTGTGTTTTGTCTCAGTGAATGTGTGAATCTGTGCTAATGCAATTATTCTCTAAAGAAGGAAAGTATATTCAAGGACTGGTCGGTCTCACACATGAGTGAGGACTATGTGCATTTTGTAACTTCTGGAGGAAAATCCCTTCTTCTCATCGTACACTTTCATCACTTGGAGTGTATTGGAAACGGACCACTGGAAGTTGGACATGTGTGCTATGAAGGTAGCATTCTGCGAATGTTTAAAAAGTAATCTTCCCAAACACAGGTCAGGAGTTGCTTTCCCTGCAGGCCGAGGCTACATGAGAGAAGGCACCTAGGGGCTGCCACTCTGGGCTCCCCTGCTCCCCCAAACTGTCTGAGAGCCTGGGCAGAACCCCTTCCCTAGTGTTTCACAGCAGACTAAGAGCCACTGGAGGGGCCTCCGATCCAAGTACCCGAGACCAACGACCTGAGACCAACGACCTGAGACCAAGGACCCGAGACCAGGGACCCGAGACCAAGGACCCGAGACCAAGCACCTGAGGCCAAGTACCTGAGACCAAGCACCTGAGGCCAAGCACCTGAGGCCAAGGACCTGAGACCAAGGACCTGAGGCCAAGGACCTGAGACCAAGCACCTGAGACCAAGCACCTGAGACCACGGAGCTGAGGCCAAGCACCTGAGACCAAGCACCTGAGGCCAAGCACCTGAGGCCAAGCACCTGAGGCCAAGGACCTGAGACCAAGGACCTGAGGCCAAGCACCTGAGGCCAAGCACCTGAGACCAAGCACCTGAGGCCTAGCACCTGAGACCAAGCACCTGAGGCCAAGCACCTGAGACCACGGAGCTGAGGCAGCAAGGGCTGGGCGCGGGGTCGAGGCCTCTCCTGTCTGCGGAGGGAGGCTGCGCTCACCCACTCTGCCTGCTGTCAGGACTCAGCGCCCAGCTGGCTGCCTGAACCCTGTCCTCTGAAGGCCGTGAAGATAGTTGTGGGACTGGGGAGAGACGAGGGGCCTCCAGGGCATCTCACTGCTTGACAGAGGCCTTTGTCACAGCGAGAATCTACTTACCTCACACCCCAGCCCCGCCCTGGCAACTTCCTGTTAAAGAAAGTTCATGGCACCTCAAGAAAATGAACTCAAGCCCCACATTCTCCAGTTGAAGAGACCGAACCTAAGAAGGCTAAAGGGTGACTCCTGGTCACACAGGGCTGCAGCAAACATGGAACCACGGTTTGTTGTGGACACGTCCCTTGTGTGCTTGTGCTGGTTGTTAGAGCTCCAGAGTGAACTCGGGGGAAACCAGGCCAACCGGGTCGGCCGAGGGCACTTGGCGGGACCCTGCTATCGCATCTTATTTTTCTCTTTTTTTTTATCCTCAACCGAGGACATTTTTCCATTTTTTGTTCAGATAGAGCGGGAGGGAGAGAGAGGAAGAGAGAGAGAGAGAAACATCGATGTGAAGGGACACATCGAGTGGCTGCCACCCGCACGACCAACCAGGGCCGGGGACAAACTGCAACCGAAGTACGTGCCTTTAGCGGGAACCGAACCCGGGTCTCTCTGTACCGCAGGTCGACGCTCTAACCGCTGAGCCAAACCGGCCAGGGCTTATTTTTCTCTTATATGGCCTCTTGTTTCTAAGGTGAGAGGACCTTCAAGTGTCATCACTGTGACGCGACCTTTAAGAGGAAGGACACCTTAAACGTTCACGTCCAGGTGGTCCATGAGAGACACAAGAAGTACCGGTGTGAGCTGTGCAACAAGGCCTTCGTGACCCCGTCAGTGCTCAGGAGTCACAAGAAGGTGAGTGGCAGCCTGCTGCGGGCCTGACGGCTCTCGTGACCAAGCGACATGGTCACACGTGTCATCGTGAGATGATCGCTCTCAGTTACCAACAGAGCTACCCAAAGTGACAACTAAGACGTGCATGATAGATGTTAGCTCTTCAGAAGGGGTCTGTTTGCTTCATCATTTTTTTCAGAAGAGAGATGATTTTCATATGAAAGTGAACCTAGTTGGGTATGATGTCACCCAGCCCTGAGCTGTGGGGACAGGTGGGTCCCAGTACTCAGTGAGTGGCAGCTTCTTATTTCTCTCAAAGATTTTTGGATTAACACACATGTTTAAAGAAAGAAATAGGAAGCGCCCTCATTATTGTATCTTCCAAAGCCAGGTCAGATGTTGGTTGTCAGGTTCTTTGGGGGTTGCGGTGGCCGGTCCTCATCTCGCACCCTGAGGGCCCTGGACGTTCCTGTCCAGAACATGGTCTGCAGAGGTGTTTGCTCAGCTCAGACGGTGTTCCTGCTCCTGGTGACTTGATCTCTCTGTTACGCACTCAAGCAAACTGGCAGGTTATTTTAAGTAGTTAAGTAGCTACATTTTAAGTATCTTTTTTAAATAGCAGAATCGTTACTGTAACATACACAGTGAAAGGTTCTAGTGTTGACTCTAGAAATGACTGTGGGGTGTTTCTGCCACCTGGCGTAACCGCTGAGTGACTGAGGACACGCATCAGCCTCAGGGTGACCTTCCCGCGGGTGCCCATCCTTCCTCCCGTTGTTCCAACAGGAGCGAACCCAGGAACTTTCTCTTCTGTATCTTTAATGCTCAGTAATAACACTACTGTCTTCCTTTCTTAATATCTTAGTAAGTGTTTCTCCTTCTTTAATCAGCGAGGGGGTCGTGTAGCAAGTGTCCGAGGTGCCGCTGTTGGCCCGCAGGGGCAGGTGGCCACGGAGCCTGGTTCGTGTGCATCCACCGGCATGTGCTTCCCGTGGGCGTTCCGTGTCACTTTTGCACATGTAACCTGTTAAGTACATACCTTCAGTGTCTGTGAAAACCCACTAGCAGATTCTGTACCTAATAATAGGGTATGCTTGTAAATGAGACCAAAGGAGCATTGTAATTCTCTCCATTGCTCTTGCCTTCATGGCCTGTGATTCAGGTCACGCAGCAAAAAATAAAATACTTCTGTGGGTTTCATAAAGGGGTTACAAATAAATCGTAGTTGCCTGATTGGAAGACTCCGGTGTTCGAACGGTGGGTGTATACGATTTGTACACGGCTTTGTCCGGACCAGCAGGGGACGGGGTATTGTGCCCCTTCGGGTGCCGGGACTGGAAGGCAGGTGTGTGCAAGGTGTCACACTCTGGCTTGCTGAGCCACGCTGCGGACCACGGAGCAACGGCTCTTCCCGAGGGGCGAAGAAGGGAGCTGTCGTGTGGAAGAACCGGTGGCGAAGACGGACAGCTCGGGCCGCCCAGCGCAGCCGGAGGGGCTGCCGAGGGCATTGGCCGGGCGGGTGGACCGGGTTCTCGGACTCCAGTCCGGTGTCAACCCTTTTTCCCAAGAGACACAACACCACTCAGGCGTGTCATACGGGGCTCGTTCAAAAATGACAAATACAACAGCGGTATCCAGCTCCAAATTACAATTCTCACAGGAAAGGGACACCGTGCATGCCAGGGAGGCCCCGCCAGCAGCGGCACTGCGCGTGGCACTCCGCTGAGGGTGGGCACAAGGGCGCCGTGCGGGCCGAGGCCGGAGGTGCGGGTGAGGAGGCAGCCAGCCGGCACGTACAGACGCCTTTCCTGAGCCCCTGTCTCTGCGCCCCTGTCTCCCGGCCCAGGGCCATTCGGGTAACAGCGCTCGCTGGTCGTTTGCATAGAGCCAGATGCAGACACTGCCCGGGGGACACGGGCCCACAGGCGGCAGGATCCGCTGTGTGCCTTCGCTTGTGTCCAGGTTATCACTGAGATAAAAAAAGAAAAAAAAAAACTTCTGAAGACAGCTGCCCGGAAAACGTGCAGGGTTCTCGCTCCCCCGAGCACGAAGAGGAGCCGGGACCCTCGCTGGGAGCAGCGACCTGTTTTGATGTTGGCGCCGTGATGTCCCCTGGGGAGACTCCGGGCTGAGTTTCACACGCTTGATCTGTCTCCTCTTTTGGGAAAGGTCTCTCTTTTCTCTATGAACTTTCTAACACCTTATAGAAAACTGCTTAGAAAATTATTTCACTGTATACGTGAATCTACAGGCATGCAGCATTATAATTCGATGCGTGTATACGTACAAAGTGATCTCCACAAGTCCACCCATCAGCACTCGGCCAACCCCTCGCCCAGCTCCCCGCCTCCTGCAACCACCCATCTGTCCCTCTATCTGTGCGTTTATTTTTGTGGTGCTAGTTTGGCTTCCTTTACATCCCACAGATGAGTGAAATCACATGGTATTTGTTTTTCTCTGCCTCACTTATTTTGGTTAGTATAATACCCTCCAGGTTCATCCATGTTGTCACAAATGACAACATTTTATTTTTTTATGGCTGAGTACTATTTCGTTGTATATATATGTACCATATGTTCTTCATCGAATCGCCCATCAGGGGACATTTAATTTGTTTCCGTATCTTGGCTATTGAAAATAACGCTGCTGTGAACATAGGGGTGCATCGAACTTGTTGAATTATCGGTATATTCCCAGAAGTGGAGTTGCAGGGTCGAAAGGCAGTTCCATTTTTAATTTCTTGTGGACACTCTGTGCTGTTTTCCACCGTGGCTGCACCCCTCGGACTCCCCACCCACGGGGCACGAGGCTCCCTTCTCTCCACGTTTCTGCCAGCACCTGTGGCTTATCTTTTTGGTAACAGCCATTCTGACAGGTGTGAGGTGCGAAAACGTGCTTCTGATGATACTCACGGGCCTTCCCTTGTGTGGTGGTTTGTGCCCTGAGTACAGGTATGTCGCGGGCAGAGACACCCCCTCCCACAGACTGCTCACGTAGACCTGCTGATTTGAAAGGTCAAATCAGATGTATGTTCTTCTCGACTTTGCAGCAAAATTAGTCCAGTCGGACAAGCAGAACGCAGGTAACATTTACTTTACCGAGGTTAATTCTGTCCAGTGTGACATGCACGCAGAGAACGTGGCAAACACGTCTAAGGACGCAGCCCCTGGGGGGCCGGGCCGCCGGGCCCCGTCCCGCCCACGCGGTTTTGCTGCATTGACCGGTCTCCCGTGGCTTAACCATGTTAGATGGGGCTCCATAAAGGCTTAAAAAGTAAACGGCAGAATTGTTTCCAAATGAACACTAATGCACGGCTCTAAGGGGCTCTTTGAACCGGAGGGAATACCCATGATAAATGGTTTTAAATGTCATTGTGATATTAAATCATTTTAATGCAACGTAATCCAGGGAAAACGGATTTACCAATGTCAGAGGCACTCAGTCATCTCTCCCTCGGTCTTTAGGTGTATCCTCAACTCTCTTTGTTCCACCCCATCTAGACACACACGGGGGAGAAGGAGAAGATCTGCCCGTACTGTGGCCAGAAGTTTGCCAGCAGCGGGACGCTGAGGGTCCACATCCGCAGCCACACAGGTGAGCAGGGCGCAGCTGCTGCGCAAGGCGACCGGAGCCGGACTCCCCCAGGACAAAAAGAGGGCGGACACCTCCCGACTGCAGCTGCTTTCTCTCCCTTACGGTTTCACAAAACCCGATTTCTGACTTCGGGCGTTTTCGAGTCAGTGTGCTCCCACGGCGTCGACTATCTAACGTGGAAATACCTGGCACACGGTTTGGTTGGGGCACGACTGTGATTGGATGTACACACTGTTCGAATGGACAGAAGGGGGAGGGCAGACTCACCTTCTTTGGAAGGCCAGGGGTCTGCTCTCAAAACGCCCGCCAGGAAACCCAGGAGTGGCATTTCTCGAGAGGCACCGCCCTGTGGAGCCCAAACCTCCTCAGGGAGCGTCTCCCAGCCTGTTCCGTACGGTCCCCTGGTGTGACCTGCGCTTTGAGAGCGCCCCGCGCGCGATTCGGGGACACGGGGCGTGGGGTGCTGGAGAAGGCTGGCCCTCGGGGTGACCAGGTCGTCCTGTGGCTGGAGGGCGTCACCGACCGTGCTCGGCGAGGCCGCATGGTGGCAGGTGCGGGCTTCCCAGGACGCCGCGTTCTGCTCGATTTCTCTGACTCCCGGGCTTGGTAAATCCGCCCCCCTCCCCACCCCAGCCCTTCTTTCTGAAATGACAGGCTCGCTTCTTGTGTATTAAAGACACAAACGTTCACCAGATGCTCGTCTCAGTGGCCACAGTGGCCGTCCCTTTCCCAGCGCAGGGAGCCCGGAGCAGAGCCGGCGGCTGAGCGCTTCTCATCACGGCCGCCCCAGTGCTCGGCCCCGGATCCCAGGGACCAGCCAGAGTGCCCGCTTGCGCCTGCAGGGCCCGGCACGGTCACAGGCCGTGGGCGGTGTGTTTGGGTCTCCTGCTGGTCTGGAGGAGAGATTGGGAGCCTCCAGTTCATCACAGACGAGCTTCCCTTCCCAGCCGCCTGTTCGTCACCTGTTCCCCAGGACACGGGCAGCAGGGCTGGGCGCGCGGGCTCCCACCAGCTCTGTGGAAGCAGGACAGCCCTCGGGGATACCGGAGGGGCTCCCACAGCCGGAGTGGGTTCCCAGGCTCATTTCCTGCCCATGGCGCCGGGCTCCGCGAGGCACAGGGCCCGTCCAGGCCAGTGACCGATGATGACCTGCCTGGTCCAGGAAACACCGTCCACGTCTGGACGCCAAACCCGCCGTTACGTTTGCATTCTCTCTCCTCTCTGCCGCACGGCTGTCGCATCAACACGAGGGCGACAAAGGTGTAGGTCGTCCAGGGAAAGGTGAAGAATTCTGAGGCTCACGTGAGCTCAGTCATTGGAAAGTTTTTGTTTTAGAGCCAAAAGAAAGGGGTTAAAAAAATTTATTTTTCACATTTCCATGCTCATTTACTCCTTTATAGTGGGCAATGGCATACAGGGAAAAAAGTGATTAAATTCAGTTTCACCAGATTTCTTTTTTTTTTTTAAATGGGCTTTATTTATTATTATTGTTTTTAATCCTCACCCGAGGATATTTTTCCATTGAATTTTTTTAGATAGAGCAGAAGGGAGGGAGGAAGAGAGAGAGAGAGAGACATCGATTGGTTGCCTCTCACACGACCCTGACTGTGCCAGGGATCGAACCTGTAACCCAGATACGTGCCCTTGACCGGGAATCGAACCCTCAATGCTTTGGTCTGCAGGCCGATGCTCTAACCACTGAACCGAACTGGCCAGGGCAAACAGGCTCCAACTTTTAGAGTAATTTCAGGTTCACAGTGCAATTAAGAGACGGCACAGAGATCTGCCCATCTGCCCCCCCACATTGGCACAGCACCCCAACTGTCTGCATCCCCAGTCCGAGGCCTGTGTCTGGGATGGTAGATGAACCTACCCGACACATAGTTATCACCCAGAGCCTGTGGTCTACATCAGGGCTCCCTCTTGGTGCTGGACAGTCTAGGGGTTCGGACAAAGAGTGACATGTACCCGTCGTCACCGTGTTATAGTCACTTCATGGCCCTAAAATCCTGTGTGCTCTGCCTGCTCACCCCACCCTGCACCCCGGCAACCACTGATGCTTCCACTGTCTCCGCAGTTTCCCCCAGAGGGTTACGCAGTTGAGTAGACCCCTGTTTTATCTCTAGGACGTGGTGGTTAACCGACAGGCCTTTCAGCGAGGGGACGGTCACTGGAATGCTCTGCGGCCCGGTGGCTTTAGTGGAGGTAGAGTCTCGTCGCGTCCGCCCACTGTGTTGAAGGCGTCGATTCCGGGCTGCTTCTGCGGTTCTCAAGGTGTCCGTCGGTATTTGGGGAAGCAGGTCCTCTCTGTCACATGAGCTAAGTTTCAGGAACTGTGATGACAGTCTCGGGGGTCCCTCCAGCTGGCCAGCCGGCACCACTGGCTCCTTCGCCCCGGGCATGGCGGGTGTGGTACAGCGTGGAAGGGCTCCCTCATACCCCTCTCAGGACACTGCTCACGACTGACGGTCCTTCCGCGAGACAGCGGCCACTCAGCCACTGAGCCTCTACCTGCTGCTCGTCCTGGGAGGAAGGAGTCTTAGCATCTATTTCTCTGTTGAAATGTTTTGTTAATAGTGTTGAAAGGAAACATTTAGAAATTTTCTCTGGTGCCCAGCTGTGTGGCTCAGTGGTTGAGCGTTGACCCTGCACCAGGAGGTCGCCGGTTCGATTCCCGGTCAGGGCACATGCCCAGATTGTGGCCCCGATCCCCAGTGGGGGGCGTGCAGGAGGCGGCCAGTCGATGTTCCCTCTCATCGGTGTTTCTATCTCTCTCTCCCTCTCCTTCCTCTCTCTCTAAGATTGATAAAGAAAAAAAATTTTTTTTACGTTTTTCTCTGGTTCTTCACATTTTGATTGTCTTTATCCTTGACTGCCTCAGGTAACCAACCAGTTGTATCCTTACTTCCTTTCTGTCTTCCCTCTCCCCCTCCCCCTATTCACATTACCGCCATCCTGTACGCTGGGGTGAAGTCTGACAAAATTTGGTTTTTCCATTAACTCTGAGAATACTATTTTTCACACGCTTTGTATCTACTGAAGTCTACTCATTCTTCATAATTAGGTGATTAGAATAAGGATAGTGAGTGCTTATTTGCCTTTATATATTAAGATAGAATATTCTTTTTTTTTTTTTTTTTATCCTCACCTGAGGACATTTTTTTTTTTTTTTCATTTCTTGTTCAGGTAGAGTGGGAGGGAGAGAGAGGAAGGGAGAGAGAGAGAAACATCGACGTGAAGGGACACATCGAGTGGCTGCCACCCGCATGACCGACCAGGGCCGGGGACAAACTGCAACCAAGGTACGTGCCCTTAGCGGGAACCGAACCCGGGTCTCTCAGGACCACAGGCCGACGCTCTAACCGCTGAGCCAAACCGGCCAGGGCTAGAATATTCTTTTTAAAAACCGTTTTTATTGATTTTTAGAGACAGGGGAAGGGAGAGGGAGACAGAGAGAGACACATCGATCTGAGTTGACAACACGGCTCGGCGGCTGCTGCCCCCCCTCCCTGGGATGGAGCCGGAAACCAGGGCCTGTGCCCTGACCGGGAGTTGAACTGGCGACCCTTTGGTGCACGGGACCATTCCCAACCAACCGAGCCACATCGGCCAGGCAGAATAGAATACTCTTGACTTTTAGCAGAGAGAGCCCTTTCTGGAAGCTTCTGGTTCAAGCCAGAAGTGATTTGCCAAAGCGGCACACATGTGTGGTTCATGCAGAACTGAACGAAGGTGTCACCCCTTCCCAGCGTGCACACTGCTCGTGTGACCTCTCCTGTTCTTTAGCAACACACCTGGGCCTTACCGTTGCCCCTGAACTCGCCGTGGAGTTAAGTACCTTGCTCCCCGAATGTGTGATGCATCATCTCGGTCATCAGCCGGTTGAGGCTGTTGGAAGGGACCTGGAAGCTTGGGGGTGTGGTACGTTTGGTCTAACTGACAACTTAGCTCCACCCTGGAGAGACTCTCCCAACGATGGCCCACGACCCTGATCACCCACTGCTGGCTCAGGTTCAGGGCGTGGGTCCCGGGTCAGATTACCGGCTTCTGAGCCCCATTTTATTGATTTCCTCCCTGCCTGAGCTTTACAGCAAATCGCTTAATCTCTTCAAAGCTCGTGTCCTCATCCGGAAAGCCAGGCCGTGGAGTGAGGGCTCCGGGTGCTGTTCGAGGACGCTCGGAGCTGCGTGCAGAGAGCTGGGTGTGCGGCCTGGCTGTCGCTGCTGGCCCCCTGGGCTTCGTGCCTGCTGTCCTCCCAGGGCTTGGCCCCAGGCACGCACACTGCCGGGGCGTCTGACCCGCTGAGCGCGGAGTCACCGTCACCATCTCGCTCTGCGGCCTGTCGCTGCAGCACGCAGGTCGTCCGTGAACATACGTGAGGGGCCGCCGCTGTGGCTGTCACCGCCAGGAAGGTGCCTGTTGGGGTCTGTGGGCAGGCAGGTCTGGGGCCCGTCACCGGCTCCCTGAGCTGAAGTGACAGCGATGGCACCCTGGGTCGGCTGCCATAGCGGGGCACTGTCCCCTGTTGCTTTATTGCTTCTTGGGGTCAGTGAGAACCGGGGTTAAGTCTGGCATGAATTCCACCGGTTGTTCATAAATTATGAAAGCAATTCTAGAAACGGCGTTCGGGGTTTTAAATCTCTGGGCCAGAAGGTTAATTACTCGCCTGCAGTCCCAACCAGCCGCCCGTGTTCGTAGACACCGGCTGTGCAGCCTTCTGCGTGCGCACTGCGATTCCAGCGTAGTCATAAATCACTGTCCTGGGGAACAGTCAACCCTCAGTGGAGACCCTCGGTCAGCTGGAAATGAAGCGTCGGTACAATTTGATTCCACTCGGATGACAGCCCCGGCTGTCTTCCTTCTCTAACGCTTGCACTGAAGGAATTCATCCATTTTTAGAATATGTGTTCACCACTTCAAAAACAGTCGCAGTAAATAATCCTAAGTAACTGCCTAACAATATGAACACGATTCACGGACAGTTAACAAAGCAATTATAA